TGCTGCCAGCAGCTGTGTGCTGGGGTTTTTATAAGGATCAGATGAGTAGGATATGTGGTGAGTGCCCAGAATGGTGCCCAGCACCGTGAGAGCGCAAAAAGCTCTCCATCCTCATTGTCCAGGCAGGTATGGGGGCGGCAGGGAGGGGACAGAGGTAGGAAATATCAAGCCAGGCCCGGGCAGGACTTGGCTCTGAGTTCCTGGTTCCCGCTCGGTCGGCCTTCTACTCCCTCTGCCCGAGGCCGGTGTGCATGTGGTCGCCATGGTTACAGGCACCAGCCTGGAGGAATAGGGTCCCCACCGCCTGCTGTCCACCATGGGAGCCAGCTGCCCCCTCTTCAGCCAAGAACAAAGCACCGAGCATCACCATGCACTAGACGCTGGGGTGTGGGGGATGGAGACCGTGCCTCCCCATCCATGGGGGCATCATAATCTAGGTAGGGCCAGAGAGCAGGGAGAGGGCTGCAAACCGAGAAATCAATGTGTAAGCAAAACCTGCTGAGTGCCATGTCCCAGTGGCAGTGGTCAGGGAGGTGTCACGGCCGCTGTGCACGGTGCCTCACTGCCTCAGTCCCCAGTGGCCATGAACCCCGGCTGCCCACGGCTGGCAGCTCTCCCATTTCCTAGAGAGCTGTCCTTGGGGGAAAGGGAGCTTCTTCCCGCAGGAGGTGACTCCCACCGCCAGGAGTGGGGCAGCCAGTGGCCAGCAGCCCGCTGTCCCAGGAGGGACCAGTGCTGGGGCAGCCACACTCCTGCGCCCCTGGTGTGACGGGCGCGGCTGGTCACGGCTGTGCCCCCGCCTGGCCTGGCTGACATCTGCTTGGCCCCTCTCTCCCATTCCCCTGGGAGGACTCCACCGATAAACTGGTTTCACAAGCCATCCCCAGTCCCTGATCAAGATGGGAGGAGGCCAGGCCAGGGACCCACGGGTGGTCTCAGCCAGCCCCGTCGCCTTCATGGAGGGCTGGGAGGCACAGGCCCCAGGGTTCGCTCCAGTCTTGATTTTTAGCATGTGGCCTTTTTGTGTGCTCTTCCTAGAGCCACTGTAAAAAAAACCAAACCAAACCAAAACAAAAAAACAACAAAAAAAACTGCCACAAACTGGGGGGTTTGAGACAAGAGAATTCTATTCTCGCACAGTTCTGGAGGCCAGAGTTCCAATCCAGGTGTGGGCAGGGCCACACCGCTTCAGAGGGCCCCAGGGGAGGCTCCTTCCCGCCTCTCTGGCTCCTGGTGGCTCCAGGTGCTCCTTGGCGTGTGGTTGCACCCCTGCCATCCTTGCCTCCATATTGTCCCTGTGCATCTGCGTCTGCTTTTTATTTTTATTTTTTAGACAGAATCTCGCTCCGTTGCCCAGGCTGGAGCGCAATGGCGTGATCTCGTCACACTGCAACCTCTGCCTCCTGGGCTCAGGCGATCCTCCTGCCTCAGCCTCCCTAGTAGCTGGGATTACAGGTGTGAGCCACCACACCTGGCTAATTTTTGTATTTTTAGTAGAGATGGGGTTTCACTGTGTTGGCCAGGCTAGTCTCGAACTCCTGACCTCAGGTGATCCACCCACCTCGGCCTCCCAAAGGATTATAGGCGTGAGCCACCGCCTCCATCCTGTGTCCACTCTTGTAGGGACACCAGTCATTGACTTTAGGGCCCACCCTCCTCCGAGATGACCTCATCTCAGGAGCCTCAATTCCATCTGCAAAGGCCCTCTTCCAAATAAGATCCCATTCACAGGGTCTGTGTGGACATGGGGTTTGGGGGGGGACCCTATTTGACCCACACTGCCCTTGTCCTTGGGAAGCTACCTCTGGCTGTGTTTTTGGTGTGCATGCCTTGACCGTTGCTGCTTCTCTCAAGGACCCCTGTGGGGCCATCTCGTCCTGGCCACACTGGGCCATGCCCCATCTCCCAGGGAGAGGGTCTGCATGTTTGAGACGAGACTGTGACCTCCCTTGGATCCCTGCCTCTACCCCAGGCACCTCCAGCCCTTCCCATTTTGACACAGGCAGACAGAGCCAGGGGCAAACCCAGGACCTGCCCAGCCAGCGGCCTGAGTGGCTCTGAGGAGAGCAGAGCCATTGCTGGGGCCACCTTGGGGGCCTTTTCTTTTAGGGCGTCTGCACACTGCATGCAGTGGTCATTTGGGGCTGGGGCTGGCCTGCCGCCTGGAACCTCACCCACAGCCTGCATCCCCCTAGGGCAGCCTGTGCAGGGTGCTTGCTGAGACTGAGCGTGTTCTGGATCTTCCCCGGCCAGTGCAACAGCTGTCAGTGTGTAGTGGGTGTGACTGAGGAATGTAACGAGGACTGCTGAATTGTAATGAATTTAAGTTGAACAGCCCTATGCGGCTAGTGGCCTCTGTATTAGAAGCCCTAGAACAGGGTCCCAGGGTGGCCTGCATGCCAGGGGGAGGCAGGGCTAAGGGCGTGTGGGTGTGCTGGGTGCTGTTTGTGGCTGTGTAGTCCCGGTGCCCAATGTGGGGGGCACCAGGACCTGTGGGCCCTGGGGCCACAGTGAACTTGGCTTCACCCCTCAGATCACGTCCCAAGTGGCACTGCACAGGGAAGCCCTCCCTGATTACCTGGTGGTCAAACCCTTCTTGTGCCCTCATCACCCTGACGATCACAGCCCTCCCGACAGCTGGCATCTTAGTCCATTGGTGGGGCGTCGGTGAGAGTAGTAGGGGATTCAGGCAGCAATCTCCAATGAGGTGAGGAGACCCTCTCTGTTTACCACGTAGCAGCAGTTCAGAGCGCAGTGCCGGCACACAGTAGGTGCACAGTGAGTGAGCTGAACGGAAGACGTTCTGCCGTGGCCGCGAGCATCTCTTCGCATCTACACTCATGCTTTCTCCAAAGCTATGTGATTCATACGCTCTGGGTCTATGATTCATAACCTCAGTGATGAACAAGCTATCTGAAAAATAGGCGGGTTATTTAAAGCCCTGCCCTTCACCTCCCTGAGCCCTTGATGCGGGCACATGTAGTTCCAGTACAGGTCCTAAGGAGTGGCCTTGCCAGGCCCCCTGCTATCCCAGCATAGGCTGGTCAGGCGGGGGGATGCCTTGTAACAAACATCCCCAATCTAAATGGCATCGAAGAGCAAGGGCTTCTTTCTGGCTCTTACTATGTGTTCCTCACGGGTTGGCCGTGACTGGAGTGTCACAGCAACACCTCAAGGAGAACAACTAGGGCTGCCTTAAAAGGCTTTAGGGGCCAGGCGTGGTGGCTCATGCCTGCAGTTCCAGCTCTTTGGGAGGCCAAGGTAGGAGGATCACTGGAGCCCAGGAATTTGAGATCAGCCTGGGCAACATAGTAAGATCCTGTCTCTGCAAAAACCGTTTTTTTAATTGGCTGGGGCATGGTGGCATGCACCTGTAGTGCCAGCTGTGTGGGAGGCTGAGGTGGGAGGATCGCCTGAGCCCAGGAGGTCAGGGCTGCAGTGAGCCGTGATTGTACCACTGCACTCGCGCTTGGGTGACAGAAAGAGACCCTGTCTCAAAAAAATAAAAATTAAAAAAAATAAAAGCCTTTAGAAGCAGAGCCTCCTGGCCCTGCCCTAAGTGAAACTTCTACTTCAAGACGCTTTCTTTGCTGGGCTGGCCCTGAAGGACCCCCACGTGTAGATGGACAGGGTTTTCCTGGGTAGGTGGAAGAGGGGAAAGGCCTGTGAGGCTGAGTCTGGCAGGGAACAGTTGAGGAGGGAAGAGTAGGGTAGGGGAGGGCAGAAGTGTCACCGTGTTGGCATGAGGAGAAGCAGCAGAGGCCAGAGGTCTGTGTTTTCAGAATCAGTTTGGGGCTGAACCAGCGGCTGAGCTGGGGGGAGGGGGAGGTGGGCCGCAGGATGGGGTAGGGGTCCTTAGGCCACTTCCTGTGAGGAGCACTGGGCAGGGCCATGGCCCTGATGGTCTTTGCTTCCACAGGGAGTGGAATTTTGGGACAGACTTTAAAACAGACCAGAGAAAGAACTTCCCAGCATGGAGCTGTGGGGTGGATTTGGGAGGGAAACAGAGAGTGCGTTCTTTGTGTCTGTCTGAAGGGGGGCTCTTTCTGAAGGGACTGTGGGTGGCTTCTTTTCCCATGGAAATCTCTTTCCCCACCTTGCCAAGATTCTTCCCGCTGCAAGTGACAGAAAGCAGCTCAAATGGTCTGAAGCCTCCCTCAAAATGGATTTGCTGGTGCTCACAACTGAGGGACAGTTTCAGGTGTGGCTTGATCCAGGCATTTGAACAATGTTGGAAAGACTTGATCTTTCACCGTCTTTGACTCCTGCTCTCCTCAGTGTAGCTCCATTTCCACATGGTTTCCAACTCCCCGCCCCACATTCTTAGCCCCCACAGGGGGGCTGTCTCCACAGCTCTGGAGGAGAACCTGGGTAGCTCTCATTGGCCCAGTGTGGGTTACATGCCCATGTCCAATCCAGTCCTTGTCTTCAGGGAGATGTGGTGCCATTTCTAGGCCCGCCCTGCTCTCCTGCAGACATCTGCCATTCTGATCGGCTTCCTGTGCCCCTCTGCAGGCCTGGCCAGCTCCCACCTGTGTGTCCCTCCCTGGCAGGTGTGCCACAGACACAGATGTAGTGGGGTCTCTACCCCTCTGGAGGTTACCTGAGCCTTGGGTGGCATCAAGAAGGGCTTGGAACCCTTTCTCCAGGCCGAGTATGGTTTCGGCCCCGCAAAGAGCACAGAGGGATCCCAGTTCTCCAGGGCTCTGAGCTGGGCTCCGGGGTGGGTGTGGCCTGGAGGTTGCAGTGAGAGGCCGTGACCACACCTGTTATTGAGATCTGGGAGCCGGGGGCCAGGCTGGTGGTGGGGACTGGGCAGACCCCTGAATGCCTGGATCCCACGGGGGAGCTCTGGGGTGGGCTTCCTGATGGGCCCCACGAAACAGCTTCCAGACCAAGCCAGGGCCAGAGGGTGTCAGGTGGTCCTATGTGCCCAGCAGGGAGCTGAGGCCACTGCGACAAGGGGCTGCATAACCTTGTGTCCCTGGCTCTCCCCACAGCCCTCCTCCCAACTCCCGAATCCTCCGGCGCGGGAGATGAGGCCCCGCATGCTGCCGGTGTTCTTTGGGGAGAGCATCAAGGTGAACCCGGAACCCACGCATGAGATCCGGTGAGTGGGCCGCTGGGCTCTGTGTGGGAGGAGGGGGCGGGGGGTTGGGTGCTGGTCCTGACTCTCTTGTGGGATGGGGCTGGGGACTAGGCCAGGCTGGGGGCTCAGGAGGCTCCCTACCCTCGAAGCGGCCCCTCTGGGTGCTGCCTTCTGGGGATGGCCGTGTCTTAGCCAGAGACAAAACTGATTTTAAGAGACTCTGACCCCAAAGGACCCTCTGTATCCACCCCATGCCCCCACCCCAGGCCTATTCAGCCATTTCCCATTTCCCCATTTACCGTCTGCTCCAACAGGCTTTTATTTTAAATCCAACCTCTCAGAAAAATTGGAAAATATATAAACATAACCACTTGTGCACCCTAACTCTCCCTCCCTTCTCCTGCCAGATTTTTTTTTTTTTTTAGATGGGCTCTCACTGTGTCACCCAGGCTGAAGTGCAGTGGTGGGATCATGGCTCACTGCACCCTCAACCTCCTGGGCTTAAGCAATGCTCCTAACTCAGCCTCCTGAGTAGCTGAGACTACAGGTGGGCACCCCCATGCCCAGCTAATTTTTGTATTTTTTTGCAGAGATGGGGTCTCACTATGTTGCCCAGGCTGGTCTCCAGCTCCTGGGCTCAAGTGATCCTCCTGCCTCAGCCTCTTAAAATGCTGGGATTACAGGTGCGAGTCACTGCGCCCAGCCCCTGCCAGATTGTTAGGTATTCACAACCAAACCATTCAGGCAACTCAGGCCCCCTTTTCACTCTGTTGTCTAAGAGTTAGGGGACACTCAGCTGCTCCATGTTCTTTGTGACTGTAACTTAGGTTCTTGAGGCCACCCATGAGCTACTGCACTCTAAGTGTACTGGGTGCCCTCCCAGGCACATGACATCTTAGGTGGTATGTGAATTGAATTAAGGCACCCCTGCTTGGAAACATCCCACGTCGATTTGCCCTCTTCTGAAGCTGCTGGGGCTCAGGCTTCCCGAAGGTGGACTGTGGGATTTGTGATTTTTCCCACATATCTATGGGGCTCTCTCCATCCGCTTGTCCCTGTCGAGTGGGGCCAGCCAAGCATCTGAGACCTACTGCCTCCTGCCCCTGCCAGCCATGCAATGGTCCCAGGAGACAAACGGGTCCACTTCTAAATTATTTTTCAATCCCCAAACAGCCTTCACAGCCTAGTTTTTAAAATGCAAGCCAAAACTCGACCATCGGAAGCCCAGCAAGGGTGGAGGACGGACGGCTTGGCCCTCAGGACCTCTGATCCCGTCATGAGTCTTTTGTGATCACCTTCGGGGATTCGACGGGGAGGATTCGCTCCCTCCCAGAGCTTGCAGTTTGATTTCCTAAAGCTCTGGACGTGGAACTGGGGGATTCTAGTCAGTGACTCCTCCAGGGGTGCTGAAGGGACTTTTTGGTATTTTGATATAATTTCAAACTCTTTGAAAGGTTGCATGTGCATCTCAAACAGATTCACGGGTTGTTTATATCTTGCCCTATTTGAGAGGCGATTGGTGACGTCCTGCCCTTTAGCCCCCAGATACTTCAGTGTGTCTCCTAAGAACAGGGACATCCTCTTCCATGACAGCAGCATAGTTGTCAACATCAGGGAAGTGCACACGGTGATGCTAGCACCTAACCCACACGACACGGCTCAGTTTCACCCGTCGTCCCGATAAGGTCCTTTCCCGGCTTACTTTTCTCCCCAGTTCAGGATCCAGTCCAGGTCCTTCACTGCGGTTAGCTGTCTTGCCTCTTCAGACTCTGTGAAGCCAGGACAGTCCCTCAGTCCTTCTTTGACCTTCTTGACCTTGACATTTCAGAGCAGTACACACTCGTTAGGCTTCAGAGCGTCTGCCCAGGGCCCTTTCGTGTCCATGCTGTGGGCAGGGAATCGGGGTGCTCCCCATCCTGGGCTCACTCCGCTTCCCTCCTGTCCTTTCCAGCTGCAACTCCGAGGTCAAGTACGCCTCAGAGAAGCATTTCCAGGACAAGGTCTTCTATGTGCCCGTGCCCACTGTCACAGCCTACAGCGAGACCATCGTGGCAGCACCCAACTGCACGTGGCGCAACTACCGCAGCCAGCTGACCCTGGAGCCACGCCCGCGCGCCCTGCGTTTCCGCAGCACCACCATCATCTTCCCCAAGCATGCCAGGAGCACTTTCCGGACCACCTTGCACTGCAGCCTGGGCCGGCCCAGCTGCTGGTTCACCGCCAGCGTGCAGCTGCAGCTGTGCCAGGACCCTGCCCCCAGCCTCCTGGGCCCTGCCACGCTCTGACGGGGCTGGGGCCGGCCCGGGGTGCTGGAGGAGCTGGGAGCCCTGGGGAGGAGCCGGGAGGACGGACAGGATGAGCTCGGCCTGGCACTCTGGCAGGAGGCAGGCAGGGAGGATGCCAGGCCAAGGACCCATGTGGAAGGAGGTGGCTCTTGGCTGCCTGCCCTGACCTACAGGCTAGGTGGTGGTCTCCTTGTTTTGTAAAAGCATCTATGTTTTTTTAGCACTTAAGCTGGCAAGGCAGTAGGGGCACACACTGTTAAGTGGTGGCCACCTTCAGGGTCAGGGGAGAAGAATGTGTCCATAGCGTGCCCTTGAAGCAGAGAACAGCCCAGAGCAGTTCGAGGACAGAGGCATCCCAGCCTCAGCTGGTGGGAGTGGCTGCCACTCCCTGAGAGCCCTGCTGGTGGCCAAGGCCGTGTGTGAGGGAGGAGGGGTGCCTCTCTTCCCTGCTGCTGGCCTGGGGTGTTTCCAAAACAGGCTTTCGCACACGTGCAGGTTGCACCGAGAGGTCTGAAGGCCACCTCTGGCGGACGCTGAGCCACTTCTGGCGGACGCTGAGCCACCTCTGGCGGACGCTGAGCCACTTCTGGCGGACGTTGAGCCAGGAGGTCGGACAAAGGCCAGATGCTGATGCCAAGGCTGGAGTTGGTTATATTGGGGGCGGGGAAGGCCTAGAAATACTTTGAGCCATGGCCTTGCCAGTGTCCCATGCCCTCCAGTATTGAAGATTTGGGGCACTGCCTGTCAAAATGGAAAGATTGGTGCTCAGCCTTGGAGCCTCACCTGTAGGGCGTCCCCAGCTAACACCCGTCCACGCACCGCCTCCAGGACTAGCACCCCTGATGTCAAAACCAAGTGCCCAGCGGAGGCGGTGAAGCTCTCGGAAATGCTGCCACCTGTGTGAGGTCGGCTCTGAACTCAGTCAAGGGAGTCGGAGCTCAGCTGTCAGTGTAAAGAGACACTGAGGGGACCAGGTTGCCGCCCTCAGCCTGCGTTCCTGTGTGTGATAGATTCTGCAACGACAGCACCTTACTCCTTCCTGCAGCAGGCTCACCCCTGCCCCTGGGATGTTGTGGGAGGAGCATGAGCCAGACGAAGGCTTGGCTCAGGGCTCCCTGGAACAAGGCAGTGTGCACAGGGAGCTGGGGGAGCCCAGCAGGCCGCTGAACAAACAGCCCAGAAGCCGGCACGGTGGCAGGGTGCCGAGGAGATGCCCCTCTGAGCCTTCCTCCCTACTCAGACCTGAACGCACTCCGCAGTTGGGGGCTGCCCCTGCCACCTCCCTGGTAACCCCCAAAAGGGGAGGGGAAGGTTCCCTGGGGCTTGAGCTCCCTCTGTGGAGGTGAGGAGGGGAGATTCCGTTCACATCCGGGAGGGGCGAAATGACTGATATATTTTTATGTATCTACACAGAGAGTGCATTTTCTCTCCAGAGATGCTTTCCGGTTAACAAAGGAATAACTTAAGAAATTGATTATCTTAATAAACTGCAAACCCAACGGGACTTCCTCTTCTGTCTGTGAGACCCTCAGCTCCCGCTGGGGTTGGGGAAGGGGAAGACAGGTCTCCAGGCCCCTTTTCCTGTGAGGCCATCACTTTTTTTCCACTCGGAGCTTGTGCCCTAAGGAGCCGGCCTCGGCCCTGATCAAAGGAACAAAGAAGGACTTAGCCCCAACCCCTGTAGACAGCCTCAGGGTACACCAGCTCCACCCAAGAGCCAGTTAATAAATGCAGAGGCCTGGGCCCTACCTAGGGACTTAGATCTGGGGGGCAGTTCCTTGGATGGGCCCGGGCATCTGGACTTTTGATGGCGGGCATGTCTTCAGCTCCACATCCCGGCCCTCAGCTCTGGCAAGCCCCTCAACCCACAGTGCCCCTGGAGAAGAGCCCTGGCTGCCGCTGCAGAGCAGGTGGCTGGGACGCACCTTACAATCTGTTTCTCTCCATCTCGGCCTTGGAGAGGCCCCTGGGGCTCGGTGGAGATCGTGAGTGCGTTAAGGGCACTCGGCAGATGGGACAATGTCCTCAGTGAGTCAGACTGGAAAATCAGACTAGAATTTGTTCCGAGGGCCGGGCGTGGTGGCTCAAGCCTGTAATCTCAGCACTTTGGGAGGCCGAGACGGGCGGATCATGAGGTCAGGAGATCGAGACCATCCTGGCTAACATGGTGAAACCCCGTCTCTACTAAAAAATGCAAAAAACTAGCCGGGCGTGGTGGCGGGTGCCTGTAGTCCCGGAGGCTGAGGCCGGAGAATGGCGTAAACCCGGGAGGCGGAGCTTGCAGTGAGCTGAGATCTGGCCACTGCACTTCAGCCTGGGTGACGGAGCGAGACTCCATCTCAAAAAAAAAAAAAAAAAAAAATTTGCTCCAAGGTTCTGCAGTTGGTGGGGGCAGGGGATAAGGGAGTGTCTCTTGCCACAGAGACGGCTGGGGACAGGTCCTCCAAGGGGATGTGTCACAAGAGTGCCATGGTCAGGACTGGTGGTCAGGACTGGTGGTGGCCTCTTGAGGTCCACAGCCCAGCCTGGCAGTGGTTGAGCTAACTAACACGAGTGGGAATGCTATACGTGCCAACTCAGAGCACTCACTGGATTCCAGGCTCTGGAGGAAACATTGCATATGAAAAGTTCCACACCATCCCTGCCGCTGACATGGGGGCGACTGCATCTCCACTCCACAGAGGAGAAAGCAAGGCACAGAGAGGTTAAGTCATTTGCCCACATTGGTAGGACACAGCTTGTAGGGGGCAGAGCCAGGATCTGAACCCAAGATCCCTGACACTCTTAGCCACAGGCTGCCTGCTTTGATGGAGGACGGCCCCTAACAGGGAAGAGGGGATGGAAGCTAGAGAGGCTGAGTCCAACACTGGTTCACATCAACTTGAGGACGAATCTTGAGGTCTCCACTGGTCTACACGGACAGAAGCGTGCCTCAAGACCTGAGCCCTGCTTTAGTCATGGGATTCCCTACAGATGCTGCTGGGGGTGGCATTCTTTGCACCTTCCTTAATCCATGCAAATTCAACTCCACAAGCCTGATTTTCAGTCACAACCTTGATCTCTCACCATCTCGAGGGGAACATGGATAAGGCTTTCTGACACATTCAATTATAGTGCCAGTGAATTCAACAAACATGGAGGTTCTCCTGGGATCGGTCTTGCTCCGGAGCCCGGGCGGAGTCAGGTGAGACCGTCAGGTCTGCACGACCTGCAAGACTCTTCCTGTCCCGTCCCATCCTCACTCCTCTTTCACAGGCATTACCCCGCAAACCCCTGACCCTCCTAACTCCACCTCAGCCCATTCCTGGAGAACCTGGAGAACATGCCTGCCTCCGAGAGCCTGCAACTGGTGGACCTCCTGGGGTGGCTCTACCACGCAAATGGTTTTTGCCTTTCCTAATGATGCTGGAGGCCCAGCCTGCCTGCTGGTCATGTAGGGGCCTAGGGAAGCCCAGCCAGGCACAGGGTGGAAGGAGAGGACAAGGGCAACTGCTCTAAGGCCCTCAAGTATGCATGCTTTTCCCTTGAAGCAGCTCATCTGTCCTAGGGGAACCCAGCATACCTGGAGACAGGCAGAAAGAGACACCGGTTCTGTCTGGATCCTAGGCCTTGGGAATATCCACCCCTGAAACAGAGACTGGCTGCTGTCCTGAACTGCCCAGCCTTCGGGTGCTGCCGGCTATAGCGCCTTTCCCCATCTCCCCCCAGCCCAGGCACACCAGATGTGCGAGATTCAATGTGCCATATGCAAGACCTTGGTGATGTCCTCAGAAGGGCACCTGTCACTCACTAGGCCCCGGGGAGGGGAAACTGACACAGGATGGGCTCCGCTGCTGGAAAAGGAAGAGGTCACTTCACTTCCCTAAGCATCTGTAAAATGAGCGTAATGTCTGTGGGCGGCAAGCCAGCCAGGTGCCGAGGCAAGAGACTGAGGGCACGAGCTGTTCCAGTGTAATAAAATACGTAAGATAGCAAGAGTTATACTAGATATGGGCCCACAGACCCTGTAGGGCTGGCCCCTACAAAGGTCTCTACCTCCCAGACCTAAAATCAGATTCGGCAGCCCCTGCCTTGCACTGCAAACAGTGCTCCTTCCCGCAAGTCCTTGAACTTGACACTGGTCCCATCTCTTCCTTGCCAGAATGGGAACAAGAACCAGGGCCTGCGTAGCACCCACACTGTGCCTGGCCCTGCCGCGAGCATGTCGCATATTTAATCTGTTTCATCTTCACGATGGCCCTGCAAGGGGTGGGGAGGATCCTGCGAAGGAGGCGTGTGCCCCCGGCCTCCCTCCAGAGGAAGTGCCCGTGTGAGGACAGCTGGTGGCTTGTAGACTGCTGAGCCCTCTCGGCTTTCTAGAGAATCTGTAAACAACAACTGAATTTTCTTTGATGGCCCTCCTTAGCCTCTCAAGGACAGAATGGCCAGAGAACCCTTCCACAAGCACCAGCTCCCCAGATGTGCAAATGAGCCACTGCTGCTGACCACCTGCAGCTTCTCCCTCCCCACCTCGGCATTTGTCCCTTGCCTCTGGCCACTATCTGATTCCCATACAGGTGAGCAAACAGCGGCTATGTAAAAACAAACAAACAAACAAAACAAACCAAAAAAAAAAAAAAAAAACCCGATAGCTTTTAGGAAGCAGTCACTCCCTAGAGCAATACCACCACCCCATTCGAGGGAAACTGAGGCATGGTGGGGGTTAAACGACAGGGCCAGGACCAGGCAGCTGGCCGTGACATGCTGCCCTTGCATCGTGCTGATCTCTGAGCCCCTGCCCCTCACACCATGGTGTCTGGTCCCCTACCCCCTCCCCAGGGCGAGGGGGCTGCATCCTGGCCTCTGCACTGTGCCAGTCCCTTATCCTGGTCCCACACTGGCCTCCCAGGTCTAATTCTCCCTCACAATCCATCAGCACCCTTGCGAGACAAAACTGCCCTGATTTCAGAAAACCGGCAAGTTACCTTATTAAGCAACGGCTCACCACCCCAGACACTCCTGGGCCCCCACAGGGACTCACGTCCAGTCCATGGTGGTAGGCTCCCAAGGGTCCCTGGCTGGGCCTCACCTCCCAGCCATTGCCACACAGGTTTTCTCCTCTTAGCCTATTCCTTTCCCTAGACCTGCCTCCTCCAGGAAGCCACCCGGACTGCTCCAGTTTATCTGTGTCATCCCAGGAAGGCCTGTCCGGAGCCAACCCCAGGGTCTTCGGGACCAGTCCGT